ACAAACATCTTTTCAAGTTCCAATGACAGTATGAAAGAATATTCATTTTCCCTTGGAATTCAAAGTTGGTAATGGTAAAGAATGAAAATAGAAGCACGTATATGTAAACAATAATGGCACAATACCACAAGGAAATTAATTTTGGAAATTTAAGAATGTCTGAATACTTGAATGTAAATTTTTTTTCACACGAACATTCACTATAATTTTTAGTAGGACATGAACAATAGTTGTTCCTTTTCTTTCTTGGAAAGCAGTTGGGAAGCAAATTTTTATCAAACATTCCTTAGAGAATTCAGTTCTTCAGTTAATATGAGTCCTCCAAAGCATTAGCCAGATATTTTGGTAATCACATGATGAATGTCTGTGGTGAGCATCTCTAGATGAATTATTTGGAAGGCAAGAGCTAGAACAGTGTTTCTGGATGATTTCTGTACATAAAGTCTATGGTTTCTTAGTTACAAGCAATGAGAAAATGTACAGAATGAGAAAAAAATATACCTATATTCTAGGTATAGTCAACATCAACAAATGCAAGTTTATCTTCAGAGAATATCTATTAATCTTTACTTGCCTTTTTGTTTATGCCACATCATGTAGTGCTTACAAAAAGGAAGCGATATTCTCCCTCTCCTTTGCTTTCACAAGAGCTGGAAATGTTCTGCACTGTTGATAAGACAACAGGACCAGTCATATGATATTTTACTCTTCTCTGGTAGCTCATTAAAGATTTTAGGCAGTTGCCTACACCAAGCAGTGTTCACAACATAGAGAAAGAGGACTCAGAGTCACAGAACCTTAAGACTTAGAAGGACCGTCAAAGTCAATCTTCCACCTAACGTTTAAATATTTGACAACATCTTGATAAATGTCCAATCCATTCACCTAACACTGTGATTGATCGGATTCTTGTAGCCTCAAACCATGGCCAGTTTCCTCGACCTCATGGTTACTGACCAATGAGACACCTTCTGTCTCCAAATAACAATTTTAAAAAGTAGTGTTTGTAGTTAAGGGCAAAGATGAATTTAAGAGACATTAATTTCCTCAAGTTGCTCCACCTAGATTTTTATGTCTATAACCTCAACTATGAAGAAATGGTATTTTCTTTACCATATTTTTTGACTCTAATGTATAAAGGTTGTCACCAAGCTATTGTTATGTTAATAATGCAGAATATGCTAATATTGAGCGTTGTTCCAGTAATACTTTAAATTACTGGTTCAAAGTTTGTATGAATCCCTTCCTGTAAGCTAAATATGGTAAAAAAAATCTCTTGCAAGTAGGCTAATATTAGTAATGGTGCATACTATTAGATAGAGGTAGGAACATTTGTGATATCAGCAGAATAAAGTCTCTTAGTATAGTAGAGGGATTTATGAAAGTCATAGAATATCCAAATGCTAAGGTATACCTTTTTGGTAATTAGGAGTTGTAGATTTATTATAAAAATAGATTTCTCACTTTCTCAGACAGCTAGACGCCATTCTTCTTCAACCAAGCCTTAAGTACATAGTCCCATTTTCCTGGTCTTTATCTAGTTCATGTTTGTGTACTAAACAAGAGCTGTGTTTAACTTGTTATTAAAGTTTCCTTTTTCTGTTTTTTTTTTTCAATGAAGACCTAGTTTTACTTGCACATTTTTCACGAGCATCAAATAGTGGGTGATCTTTCAAGCTTGAACAGTAACAGTTGTATCGCTGAGGAAGGATTTCTTGTTTCAAATGGTCTAGGTAATGATTTACAGTTATTTTGGTCATTCTCAAAATGACAGCCCCTTGAATTTTTCTGTGGGCAGAAAAATTTGCTGGGTTGGCATCTTTTAAACCCTGGGAGGTTCATCCCAATCCTCGGCATGTGGAAACAGGGGATGGTCTGAAATCCTCACTCCAGAGGGTATTGACCTGTCCACTTTATCTTGTGATACATGTGAATGTTTGATGAGGTTTCCCTAAATGTCTGTGGCCTCCTTGGGCCTGGAATTTGCAGGCCATGACTAACCTATGAGTTGAGTGAAATTACACATCGTCCTTGGGCATTTCAAGACCAAACCTAATAAATTGACGTACAGTGATAATTTAACTCCTCTAAAGAGAACTAACAACACTTTGCAGCATAGATCTTTATCTCATACTCAATGAATTGTTGTTTAAAAAGTAGAAAGGATGCAAAAAGTTAATAAAATAAGAATGTTTTCTAATTCTGTATGTTATGAAAATGTACAAAATGCCTTTCAATCATTTCCTCACTTGAAAATCTTCAATGAATCTTCTGTACCTATAGAACAAATTTTAGTACCTTAAGCTGATGTTTTAATATGCTGTATGATCTGAATAGAACCTACCTCTCTAACACATACCCTTTGGTTCATTCATTGACTATTCCCGATATTCTTTTGGGTTTATTATCCTCTTGTCTTTGCTCCTTAAGGAAAATCCTCAGCACCCTTCAAGACAGTCTCAGAGACTACACTTAGAAGTCTTTTGTCCTATAGCACTTATTGAACTTGATCTCTATCATATCTGCTTTGATTTAACATTTTCTTAAATGTCCCCCCCTCTGGATAAGATAATTCCATATAATCCCCTTAATACTCTGATGAATTAGGGATCATTTAGTCTAAGAATTTTGATCCTAATTCTATCATGTTATTTGTGTATTGGGTTTTTTGAAATGTGTTTTGTTTTGCAGGTTGCAAAATTTAGACAATGACAAAACTGCTTTCCCACGAACCATTATGCTACCAACTTCTCTCAATGACATAGTATTCAATTTTTCCAAAGATTCCATTTAATTTGAAATTAGCAATTAGTAAACAGAGAAACATCCAGTTTTTATGAGAACCTTTAAAGAATCTTATCACACACAAGATAATGTGATAAGTTTGTATTTTTTGTGATAAGGAATGTTAAACTTAAAAGAGCTAATAAAGCAATAGTATTAGAGCATTTCTACAAGAAAAATCAGGTATCTTGGAGCTAAGAAGAAAGACTAACTCTTATTGAGCAGTGGAGATGGAACTCATGTGGATTTCCAAATTTAAGTGCAAATTTATTTTCAGAAGGTATCTGAATGTGTGAATGAAGATGTTCAGTAAACTCTTACAATGCCATGGGACTTCACATATAAACAGCTCTTAGTAGAAATAAAACTGAAGAAAAGCCCAATAAAATCAGTAACTATAAATCAACAATTGACTATTTCAAGACAAAAAGCCAAAAATTGAATTCTATAAAGAAAACCAACAAATAATTTGCAACATTTTTATATTCTAAAGAGATAATCTACCCTCTTAAAAAATCTCTGTCTTCACTTATCTCTGATAACTAAAAGGACAGCTAGAATTAATTTTCATTAAGCATAAGAACCTTACATTATCATACATGGAGCTGAAACTTAACAAGATGGCCACCAAAATCACTATGTGTGAAATTTTCCAGATAAAATGTAATTTTAGGGGCCTCCCCAGTGGCGCAGTGGGTTGAGCAGAGCGCTGTGGAGCTGTCCGCAGCCTCTGCAGCGCGGGTTCAATTCCTGGCCGGCTAGGGAGATACCCACATGGCACAGCAGACCTCTCCTGACTTGCCTACTGCTCCCCTCAGCAGTGCTTTAGGTCCGTCTGCCTGTTCTGCTCCTCACTCTGTCTCTGGTGAATCCTATCAGTCTACTGCACTTCTGGCCTGTACCCCAGTTCTTGTATAAATAAATTAAAAAAAAATCCTAAAGTATTTTTAAATGTATTCAGTCCAATAAATACACATATTTTGACTACTCAATTTACATTGGCTGTTCAATTTACTTCTAGGAAATACATTCCAAATAACTATGTACATAAATAACTACCAGGATATTCATTACAGAATTAAAATAAGATATGCAAAAACAGTTAAAAACATAACAGGGCCTCCCCAGTGGCGCAGCGGTTGAGCACTGGGTTGCGAAGCTGCCCACAGCCTCTGCAGCACCGGTTCGATCCCCGGCTGCTCCCCGGCCACCAGAGGAGGGTCCCACATGGTGTGCAGACCTCTCCTGCCGCCCGCTGCTCCCCTCAGCAGTGTACTTCGGTCCTTCTGCCTGCTCTGCTCCCCGCTCTGGCTCTGGTGAAATCTCTCACCCTCCCGCGCTTCTGACTGTACCCGGTGCTTGTATAAATAAATAAATAAATCTTTAAAAAAACAAAAACAAAAAACCTACATAACAAAAATATGTGATTGATCAAATAAATTGCATACATTATATAAGTGAGTCATTAAAATGGATTGTATGAGAATATTTTATGAAATGGAAAGAGTCTCAGCATATTGTCATATGAAAAATATTTTTTAAATAACTATTTTTAAAGTACTGGAGGGCCTCCCTGGTGGTGCAAGGGGTTAAGCACCGCACTATGAAGCAATCTGCAGCCTCTGCAGCATGAGTTTGATCCCCAGCCCACCAGGGAGAAATCCACATGGTGCAGCAGACCTCTCCTGTCTTGCCTGCTGCTCCCCTCAGCAGTGTATTTCAGTCAGTCTGCCTGTTCTGCTCCCTACTCTGTCTCTGGTGAATCCTCTCACCCCCGCTCCCATCTCTGGCCTGTACCCCAGCTCTTGTATGCATAAATAAATAAATCTTAAAAAAAAATAAAGTACTGGAAACATATGCTTCCAGTGTTAATAGTGATGTCAAGTTGTGATGGAATTACAGATTTCTTAATTTTCCATAGTGTAGATATGTATTACTTTTATGTAAAGAAGTCAAAATATTTCAGTTATTAAAAATTAAATACCTAACCAATATACAGAGTTGTTCATTAGCCACATATCCTACAACCAAGAAAATATATTACTGAATCTTTCAAGTTTATTACAAGAAAAGGATCTCTCATCTTGACAGTTAACTTGTTCAGCAAAATCAATGAATGAAAGTCCTAATGTGAAATCCAATCATGGAGATGAGGTTGTGGGAAAAATGTTCTTCACTGGCTTCATTTGTCTCATAACTCTCGTTTTTGTTTGTAGGTCCATGGGAAGTGTATGTGTAAGCACAACACAGCAGGCACCCATTGCCAACATTGTGCACCATTATACAATGACCAGCCTTGGGAGGCAGCTGATGGCAAAACAGGATCTCCTAATGAATGCAGAAGTAAGTACCAAACCCACAATTCTCAAAGCCTTCTTTGTGAAGTAAACTTATCTGTGAACTGTTATCTCTAGAAACAAAATAGAAAGTGGTGGGTGACAGACACTGTAACCTACATAAACATAGCCCATATCACTGCCCACCGTGGCTTCAAACACTGGAAACTACTACTGCTTGTAAAGTTGCCAGTATGACTGTTCAGCCAGGAATCTTTTGCCTTTTGCTTGGACCTACACACCCTCCTTGAGAATATGACATAATAAAAACATGGCTAGACACTAGAGCAACTGAGGATTATGGTGTACAGTTACCTTCATGGCTGAGTTATTGAATTATAATCATGAAAATGGCTATCTTGAACTCAGCTTTTGGAACAACTCTATGAAGCAGATGGTGTTAATCCCATTTTACAGATTCTGAAAACTGAAGCTTAGTAAGATTAAGTAACTTGGGCCTCCCTGGTGGCGCAGCGGTTGAGCGCTGGGTTGCGAAGCTGCCCGCAGCCTCTGCAGAGCCGGTTCGATCCCCGGCTGCTCCCCAGACACCGCAGGAGGGTCCCACATGGCGCACAGACCTCTCCTGCCGCCCGCTGCTCCCCTCAGCAGTGTACTTCGGTCCTTCTGCCTGCTCTGCTCCCTGCTCTGGCTCTGGTGAATTCTCTCACCCTCCCTCGCTTCTGGCTGTACCCAGTGCTTGTATAAATAAATAAAAATAAAAAATCTTTAAAAAAAAAAGATTAAGTAACTTGATAGTTCATAAATGATAGAATCTGGATGTGGGTAAGTCTAGAAACTCTAAAACTAGTACGTTTTTTCCATAATACCAGAGTGACTCCCTTTTCACTTATGATAATTTGAAATGACAAATCAGATTTGAAATTAAGCCAGTTAGTCAAGAATGCGACTACACTACCAGGGTTAACTTTCAGTTGGCGGTTGGAGATTAATTTGAGAGCATGAAACTTTTTTATTTGCAATACAAAATGTTCCTAGAAATATACACACACAAACCCACATTTTACAATGATTTAAAGGTAAATACTGTGGGTAAAGTTGTGAGAAGTCTTTTCCCATACATAATTTGGAACTGTAACTGATTTATTTCAGTTTCCAGGAAATATAAAGGATTTCCTCTAAGCATAAATCTTAAATTATCTTATAATATGCTTTTGAAAGGTTATGAATCTGGTCAAAATATCATAACACATCCCGGAAACAATGGAAAAACAATAGCACAGACATTCTCAAATACAATTTACTTCCACAAAAAAGTCTGAATTCTTATGCTAAATCACTCATCAAGAGAATCTAAAGAATTTTCCCTAAATTCCTAGAGTGCCATTCTGGCCCTTTCCACAAAAACCAACTGAATATCTAAATACATATAGGACACAGAGACTTGTCACTTGGTACTATTGATTGATAATGTTAGGAATGCCTTTGAATGCCTGCTACATAAGAAATACTGCAGGCCTCTTCTATAAGAAACCGAGGCTTCTATGGGAGACTATGTTGTACTCACCAAAATGGCACAATAGCTAAGGAAAAGTATTTCATGAATGGTAAATCACTGTACCTGTCCATTTATTAACTCCTGTCCACCGGAAGTTTCCTTTCAAGGTCATTATTGAGCATGAATTCAGACCTGCATTTGCAAAATGAATTGTCATTTTCGGTAATGCCTTAACTGTCAACCTAGGGTCCCTAAACAAGGCTGGAGACCCACAGTGATGCTATTGGGTCTCGGGAAGTAGCAGGAATGGAAATGTGAAGTACTACCATTAAAGAGGGGAAAAAACAGGTGGTCACTCAATCTTCACAAAATAAATGCCAACTTCAGTTACTAAGGTAACTGTAGTATCTCTGCCTAAGTAGAAGAGTCTACAATTTGTTGACTGGATGCAATGCTGAGACTTAATTATTTTAGTTAAAAATTGCAAAGAACCAGTGGAGGGAGAGAGAGAGGAAGAAAGAGAGGAAGGAAAACTATTGACAGCAAGAGAAAGTGGTAGCTGGGGAGGGGAGACTAGAGTTCTCAATGTATACCTTTTTGTATTGTTTTGATTCCTGTGCTATGAAAACATGCACTAAAAAACTAAAAATAGCATTTAGAAATTATCAAACAATGTATCCTATTTTTAACTGCTTGAGTATTAGAAAAACTGTCACTTTATTTTTTAATTGTTTGGTTTCCTTTGTTGTTTCTTTTTGCCAGCCTGCAAGTGCAATGGGCATGCTGATACCTGTCACTTTGACATTAATGTGTGGGCAGCATCAGGGAATCGCAGTGGTGGCGTCTGCAACAACTGTCAGCATAACACGGAAGGTCAGCATTGCCAACGATGTAAGACAGGCTTCTACCGGGACCTCCGGAGACCCTTCTCAGCTCCAGATGCTTGCAAAAGTAAGTGCTTACTGGAGGAAAGAATGATCCCTACAAAAGTAGTGGATGTTTCCATCCTTCCTGGCCTGAGGATTCATGAAATTCTGAGACAATACACTCCCTCCACATACTAATTAATTCCTTCATTGATAAATGGCAAGAATTTTCAATCTAGTAGATGTAAATCGTGTAATATTCCTGAAAGTAGTAATCTCCTTTCTCACCCTCCATGAAGTAAAATTGTTTCCTATGGTATCCCATTTTGGAAAACAAGATGACTAATAAAAAAAGATGATGGAGAGGGAGCTATAGCTGTGATCTTCTCAAGACTAAATATATGAGTAGAACTTAGACCACAAATGGACCCAAGTCGATGAAATAAAGAATGGCTGCATTTGGCCACTCTAGTTTACATCTGCGCAGTGAAGTTGCACAGCTGAGAAACCACAAGCTTTGGTTTCATAAGGATTGCCCTTTGGTTGACACTGTTCTAATGTAGCCCTTTATCTAAACTAATATAGAACATAATAATTTCCTGATCTCCTCTCCTATATTAAACTCTTACAGAATTTGTTCTTTTGTGTGTTTGTGTGTGTGTGTGTGGTTGTTGTTGTTGGTGGTGGTGGTGGTGGTCTAACTCTGAGAAGAGGTTTACTTGGAAAAAAAGAGCAAACTTATAAAAGGCCTGTCCAATTAATGTGACCTGCCTAAAATGTGACCATGAAGGGAGCATGGGGAACTAGGTAAATGTCCAGTGTGGATAATTAGCTCATCTAACTGCATGAGTATTCACACATCTGTCAACTCAGAAATTATTAGACAACAGATTGATGCTCCTGCCCTTCCTTTGTCCACTAAGGACTCCATGTTCTAGTTCAAAAACAGTGACAGGAAGGGAGCAATAAAATGGCAAACAATCATTTTCATGAAATCTTTGTTTTTTTAAATTTAAAGGAATTCTATTGCTCTTGAAAAATACAGTCTTAACATCAGGCAGGAATAGCTGAATTGGTGGACTTACTCACTGGTTAGCAGCTTTCTCCCTTAAGCTGTGGCAGACAGGGCATGGCATAGCTCACTTTCAACACTGAGACCAAACTTTGGATTTGCCTCATAATATTTCTCTGTGTAGTCTACGTATGCCTGATCCTTGTTTTTCTCAGATTTTTACTTTAATAGAATTAAATGTTTTGAACAGTTCTAAAGTAGCTTTCCCTGTTCCTTATGGCTGTGTATCTCTATCCCAGCTATTGAAGCTCTGGACTTTAATTTCTTTCTCCCTATGGGATGGAATTGTCATGAGAATTATATAAAATAAAATATGTGAAGTGATTAGCATGTTGTCTGTCATATAGAAAGCCCTCGAGAAATTGAAGCTAGTAGTATAACTGTCTATGTCTTATTAGATAGGAGGTGGGAAATAATACTAGAGCATTTCTACTCTTAAAATACCTCATGCCTATTACTCAGCAATCAAAAAGATAAACTCATGCCATTAGCAGCAACGTGGATGGAGCTAGAAGGAATTATGCTCAGTGAAATAAGTCAGAAGGAAAAAGAATAATATTGGATGGTTCACTTATAGCAGGAATATAGGGGAACCAAGTAAGACATCAGTGTAAAAAATAATAACAATACAAAACAAAAACAGACAATTATAAACCAGAACCATCCTGCAGGGAAGGAGGAGGGAGAGGGATCAGAGGAAAGAGGGAGGAGCACAGGAGACTGTGGTGATGGTGCACGGGTGCCTTGGTGAAGGGGACTACACCTGAAGGGGGAGAAGCAAATATTGTTTAAAAATCAATAATGTTGTAAAAAAAAGAAAATTTAAAATTTAAAAATAAAATAAAATACCTCATGCCAAAGATAATTATTTCTTTAAAATCCACAGAACCTTAGAGGTTAAGATACAGGCTTCTTAACTCCATGTGCTAACTAAAGAATCTGCTTTAAAACTGCTTCGATCTAGAACCTATCCAACCCTGATGCCATCTTGTTCAGGATATATTTAAATAGATACATGTGTGATGCGTACCATACCCTCGGATCACCAGTAGAAATGCATAAAATGAGAATGTATGAATTACCAAACATATAAAACAGGAAAATAAATTAATTTGTCTTTGAGTAACTTAGATCAGTTAACTGCCTTGAAGGACAACAGATAGCATTTTCAAAAACATACTATTATACAGCATTGAATTGAAACAGTATGTTATACAACATACCTAATGTTATTCATTCATTCATGGGATGGATATATATTGAGTGCCTGTTATATGCTATGAATTTAGGAGGCATCCAGGAACCAAACAAAGACTACTGTCCTCAAGGATCTTATAGTCTAACAAAGAATACATGCAATAAATATTACTAAGTGATGTACGTAAGATGTTAAAAGATTTTGGCATTTATTTCCTAGGGATGTGTGTGTGTGTGTGTGTGTGTGTGTGAGAGAGAGAGAGAGAGAATGAATTTATATATAGGGAACAAGTGTCATGTGTGTGTGTGTGTGTGTTTGTGTTAGATCATACAAGTATGATAAGTATTGTGTGGTATGAAGGAAGTTCATTGGAGGGTTGATAAGAGTTGAGTGCTCTGAGTTTTATTCAATCTGTAACTTGTAGGAGGTGGATGGATTACCAGGAATGATCTGTGTATCTTCCTTTTCCCTTCTTGAGAGAGTCTCTGGATCCAGTGGGTAGACAGCCTAAGGAAGATCTATCTCCATTCACTTTCTAACTATTCTAGTATATGTTCTGAGCAGAGATGACTGTGTCCACTCCCCTAATAGAGTTACCTTACTGGCACCTTTCTTTCCAGAATACTCTGGTTTTTCTCTTCCCTTTCCTGAACTCAGGATAGACCCCACACTTGTTAATACATCCATTTTCTCTACCTAACTACACTCCATAATATGTTGTTTACTGTGCAATGAAAATGTCAAATATGTTTGCATTTTCATTATTTTTTAGTAATATTTTCATATCATTAACTCCCTTCTTAGCAGGTATGTCCCTGTGTCAACTCTAGAGTTATTAACTCTGAGAAAATTTATGGCAAAAAAGAAATGAACTTAATGTTTACTAAATACCTACAATCTGCCAGATTTCATGCCAGATGCTGATAGAGATACAGCTACAGCCCAAACTTTTCTCCCCATTAGTTCCCACTTTACTTTTATGAGGAAGGTAGTATTAAGAAAACAAGCTGATTATTTTTAAAAATTTAAACTATCTCAGAGTGTGGTTCTATCAACAACATGTACAATGTTATTTAAAATAACAATTTTATTATAATTCTTCTACTGTGCTTACAAAAGCAGAAAAGTAACCTGCTACTTAATGTGTGGTCCAGAGGCCAGACCCATTGGCATCATCTGGCTACTGACTGGAAAAGACAGACCCTTGATCCCAGCAAAGCCTTACTGGATCAGATATGCTTTTCAACTGCTAAATGCATTTTAGCACTTGTTCTACAGTTAATTTATAAAAATTAGTTAACATTCCACTCCTGCCCAAGCATCTAAATTCACCAAAGTTTGCCTCTCTATCTGTGTGAATATAGACTTAGAATTTTGTAAATTTATTTTTATTTATTTATGCATACAAGAACTGGGGTGTAGGCCAGAGGTGTTGGGGGCAGGGTGAGAGGATTCACAAGAGACAGAGTGGGGAGCAGAACGGGTGGATCTACTGAAACACACTGCTGAGGGGAGCAGTGGGTGAAACAGGAAAGGTCTGCTGTGCCATGTGGGTCAGCTCTAGGCGTGTGGGGGTGGGGAGGCTGGCGATAGCGCTGAAACTTTAATCCCTGTGCCACCAGGGAGGCCCGACTTAGAATATTTTTAATAAGTTACACAAAGATTTACTGAGAAAAAATAAAAATTTTGATAAATGTGTTTTTATAGTACAATACTTTCCAAAGTTTGAATCATGGAACACTAACTCCATGTAATATTTCTTAGGAATTATATAAGAAGAAATTTATAGCCTTCAAATTTAGGAAATAGTGAATTAATCGAGGTTTTTTGAGGATTTCTCAGAGTCTTTAATATGCTAATGGTCACTATAAACCTATAGAGCTCTGAGGCATAAATTTAGTCAGAGAATGCTTTGCTTACAGAGCATCTGTAGCACAAATGTTCTATGGGTCACAATAGAAAATGCTACTGTGTACTGGCCAAATCTTACATAAGACTTCAATGGGGAAGATATATCCTAGAAAATTCCTCTTGGATTTGTGTTTATCATCTCCAAGTGCTGAGCATCAAACTATATAAGGGAAATAATAAATCTTATATATGGATCAATGAAATGGTCACAGACATAATATAAACTAGACTTGGTCGATGTACAGCTTATTGGACTGCCAGCATATGAAAGTCCTCTCTCCCTTACATCCTAGATCATCTCTTAGGAGCTGAAACCATTGAAAACCTGATGCAGCCACCCCAGACAAAATTTACTAGAAGTCTGGTAATCATATTTCTGTTTAGTTCAGGAAACACTTGTTGATTGTCTCCTCTATGCCAAGTACTGTGGTAAGTACTAGGTCTATGAAGATGGAAAGGTCCTCCCTGAATGATCTCACGTTCTGGATGGGAAGAAATTTACAATAACAGATCACTCCTATACACTGTGTTGATGTCAATGATATCTAGTGGCATTTTTTGAGTATCAACTATTCTCTGCTCACTGCTCAAAAAGAAAAAAAATATGTATTAACTTCATTTCACTTTCACAAAAGCACTTTGATGTATACTATTATTAGCCCCAATACATGAGAAAAGTACAATGGAAGAAACATGCAAGTACTTATGGAGAGTGTGGGAGTGGGTTGAAGGCAATTAAGGGGAGATTTCCTTGAAGAAATGCCTCTGATAGTTCTTTGTAACTATTCTTCCTCACAGAACCCGTAATCATAGGCACAAACCTGGGCAGATCCAATTCATTCAATAAGTATTGGTGGCATTAATCGTGGGATTCTGTTTATGGGTAGCTAAGATCCCTGCCAAA